GCCCTAACATTCACGATTGTCTGAGGTAGCAAGAAAATATCTACGTGCACAGGTATATTGACATCCCTAGCTAGTACCACAAGGGAAAGAACTTCATCATACTTAACATGCCCATCTAAGCATACTATGATAATCACTATCCATAATAATTATGACGAGAATTTCCTTTCTTATTTTTTAATTGTAACCATATATTACATATTTATATATGCTTCCGACTCTCTAGCTTAGGAATAACTCTAATATAGAAAAAGGTCATGTAATTAGATCCCCTTTAATTAGGTTGCCTAAAATAAAATACAAGATTTAGATTTATAACTTTCCATAACACTCCTCCTCATGTCCAACTTGTTACAACTATAAATAACCCTAACTCCATTCAGGGCCTTTGTGAAGATATATCCTAATTGTTTTTACGTCTTCACATGAGCTATTAAAATTAGATTCTATTGAATCATTTTGCGAACAAACTGCCAATCTATCTCAAAGCGCTTAGTTGTTGTTCAAGGCAACAATATGGATTGGAGCTTAGTTATCACACCACAATTTTGTTGGAACTCTTTTCTTGAAACCATCTCAATTAAGAGTTGAGATACCCACATCAACACTAGAAGCTTGTGCCATCGCTCGACACTCAAATTCAACATTGGGCCGTGATAATACATTCCATAACTTACTCTTTCATGAGACCAAATTCTTGAAACCATCTCAATTAAGAGTTGAAATACCCACATCAATTCACTAGAAGCTTGTGTCATCGCTCGACACTCAAATTCAACACTGGGTCGTGACAATACATTCCATAACTTACTCTTTCATGAGACCAAATTACCATCACCAAAGACACAATATCCATTAATGGATCTTCGATCTATTTCGAAACTTGTCCAATTTGCATCAGATGAAGATTCAATATTTCTGTCTGCATCAGATAAGCATTACATTCCGTTTCTTACCTTCCATCCAAATTAACACCAGCAAAGACACAATATCCAGTAATGGATTTCCGATGAATTTTGAAACTTGTCCAAATTGTATCAGATAAACATTCAATATTTCTATGCCCGAGATACTAATACAGAATATCATGTCCAGAAGCTCCCTTGAGGTAACATAGTACATGTTCCTAAGTTGACCAATGATAGATGGTGGGGAAAGGTAAACCAACTTATAGTGTTAAATTAATACATAATGTCAAGATGAGTTACCCTGAGATAGTTTTATTTTTCAACTAACTTCCTATACCATTCAAAATCATTAAAAAACTCTCCATCCTTGGTAAGTTGTTGATTAGGAAACAACAAAATACTACATGAATTGACCTCTAATTTCACAAGTTCTGCTACCAAATCTAGCACAAAATTCCGTTGAGATAGAAAGATACCATTTTTGCTTCTTGCCACCTCAATCCTCAAGTACTTCAACAACCCAAATCTTTAGTGTTGAACTGATTTTGAAGAAATAGTTTCAATGATAAAATTTCCTGCATATCTTTTCTAATAATAATAATGGCATCAACATAAACCGCCAATATAATGATTCAAGAAACCGATTGCTTATAGAGTACAGTGTGATCACTTCTATTTTTCTACATCATAAACCTTTCTATTACTTGGCTAAATTTTCCAGCCCATGCTCGAGGGCTTTGCCTTAATACATCTAAGAAATTTCGAAGCCAACATATCTTCCCAGACTGCCCCAAAGCAAAAAACCGAAAAAGTTGCTCCATGTATAACTCTTCCGAAAGATCATGCAGAAAAACATTCTTCACATCCAACTAATGTAGAAGCTAATCATTCATTGCAGCCAAGGACAAGAGTAGGGGAATCGAAATTAACTTAAGCTTCCAGAGATAACATATCCAAGTAGTCGATCCCATAAGTTTGATTATAACCCTTAATAACCAACCGAGCTTTGAGACGAGCTATAGATCCATCAGATTCAAATTTAATTGCAAAGAACAATTTACAGCCAATAGCCTTTTTGTTGAAAGGTAGTTCAACTAGTTCACGAATTCCATTTTCAATTAAGGCATTCATCTCATCAAGCATCATTGTCCGTAACTCAAAATGGGATAGGGCTTGCTGAACAGATTTTGAAACCTCGACAAAGTCAAGAGAAGCAATAAACGAGCAAGAATTGAAAAATAATTTATTATAATCAACACATGAGGTAATGGGATAGATGTGATGACGTTTACTTCTTCGAAGAGCAATATGTAAACCAAAGTCACTAGGAGGAATATCTAGTAGGAGGATGAAACTGGTGTCGGACTAGGATTAGGGGAACGAGGTTTTCTTGAGTAAACATTAGTAATAGGTGGTCGAGGTTGAGGCACTCGAGGTGGAGCTGGAGCAAGATCTAAACTCATGATGTGATACATTAACAACTCATCAAACTCTTATAAATGAGTCACAAAAAATAGGGTTTGTACATGAAAGGTAACAACAACAGAAATCATGTACTTGCTTAAGAGAAGAGAAAAACATTGATATTCTTTCAGAAGACAAGAATATCCTAGAAAGACACACCTTAATGACTTAAGGTCCAGTTTATAAACTTGTGAACAAATATCATGAACAAAACAAGAACACCCAAATATGTGTGATTCAATACGAAAAAGAGCTAATTGAAAATAAAACTTAGGATGGTGTCGGGTTCTGTAGAATAGCATAAGACATCCAATTGATTAAAAACATGCAGTAAAAATTGCATCAACCTATAAATGTTTAGGCACATTCGATTGAAATAACAGAACTCTAGTCGTTACACGAAGTCTATTCTTCCCTCAACTACTTCATTTTGGGATCAAGTATCAACACAGAATGATTAGTGAAGCATCCTGTTTTGTGCCATGTACATTTGAAGAGTGTAGGAAAATATTCTTTGGTATTGTCATCTCTCAGAATCTTAACAGAAACATTGAATTGAGTTTTAATTTCAGCACACAAAGATTGAGAATATAAAAGTAACTCAATACAAGATTTTATAGAATAAAGTCAAATCATACAAGAAAAAACAATCCACTAGATAAAATAGAACAAAATCCTCACACATCAGAATATACCAACTCAAAAATATGACTTACACTTTTATTAACTTCGAGAACGGCATACAAATGATGGTGCTTAACAAATGGACACAACTCACAATGTAATCGAGATAACTATTGAAACTGAAGGTACAACGTTTTCAGCATTGATAGTAATTACAATGGATCTCAAAAAGAGATAAGGTGCTAAAACAAACCATGAGTCGATGTACCTCATTAACTAAAGGATAACTATTGAAACTAAAGGTACAACGTTTTCAGCATTGATAGTAATGACAATGGATCTCAAAAAGAGATAAGGTGTTGAAACAAACCATGAGTCGATGTACCTCATTAACTAAAATGTATAGCCCCTGATTCTCGTCCTTTACCAATAATCT